GGGGGGGGGGGGGGGGGGGGGGGGGGGGGGCAAAGGTCAGCAGGAGGCTGGCCGGTCAGGACCTCCATGAGGAGCCTCAGGACCCTCATGAAGAGCTACAGGACCCCCATGAAGAGCCTCCTTACCTTGAAACCATAGAACCTGGCGTTGTAGGTAATGTTGGTGATTTGGTCCACATTGTCAAAGTACCAGTTGTATGTCTGCCCCGAGGGCAGCAGCGCCATCCAGCCATACTTATGAGTCATCCTCTTCTTCAGGAACGGGACCACGCTGGTTCCTGGGACCAGAAAAAAACAGCCCTGTGAGCTTGATGCCGGACTCATGAGTCCAGACGATCCAAAGAGATTTATCCAGTTTTAGCTCCCATCATGCACCCCTCCTCCCTCTACAGGCCCAGACTGCTGGGGGGCTCCCATGATGCACCTCTCCATGCACACGTGACATCGTTGTTGTCATTAATAATGATCCCAACCCTGTCCAAAAACATGGTCTCCCTTCCCATTTCTGATGGTTCTAGGTGTTTTTTTCTTCCCACGGTCGCCTTTTTATCGGATTTAAGTAAAAATTTAGTGTAGTTTGCTGGTTTCTTTATATTGGAAGACATGAATTAATTTTAAGTTTATTGGATTATGTCTGTATTACAATTAACTGGAATTGATTGGCTTGAATTGGTTTGTATTTTTGAAGCGACCACAGATGGCATTTGTTGTGGTTTGATGCTTTATAAAGAATTTAAAATCAATTGAAGACCTTCAGATCTAATTCCTAATTAAAAAAAGAATCAGTGACAGATTTTTGGTGTTTCAGAAAAGAGATCTTTCACCAGCAGGAGGCAGTAAAGCTCATAGGAAACTGAGCCTCCTCTGCATTGGGAGGCGCTCAGTACCATGTGAGTTGGTAAAGATGGCGTCTTTGGCTTTCAGAGAGGTCGGCGTGGGGTTGTTGAAGGCCAGTCGGTGGAACTCGACGGTGTGGTCGCACACAGCGCCGGGGAAGCCCACGCTCCACTGGGCCTCCTGGGAACAGCGAGCAGGGTCCAGCAGGCTGCTCATGGGCACCACTTTGTGGTTAGCATTGCCTAAAGCCAGCCAAAAACATGCCGGTGGAGAGGAAAAGAGACACAGGTCAAGAAATGAGTTGATAAATGAATTATAATCATGCTCAAAAGCCACAGAAACCCGACGGTTTGATTTCCTCTGCTGGTTTGGGTTTAGGTCATGGTTAGGTTTGGGGTTATGTTTAGGGTTATGGTTATTCAGGGTTTATTGAGAATAGTTTTTCCTGTTTACTCTTTTCTAGAGGTTAGGCCCCAAAATCCTTCAGGTAAGTATTTTTCTTTTGTTTTTTTCAGGTCCCTGTTCAGGTTCCAGGTAAGTACATTAGTTTTTCTTTTTCAGGTGAAGGTGAGCATTGGGTAAGTATGGGTTTTTCTAGGGGGTAAAATAGAGTGTTTAAGTAAGTTCCTATATGCTTAATATTGAAATAAGTTTAAATAAATATTTGTGTTACAATAACATTAAATAAAAATTAAAAGAACCATACATTTTACAAATAAGATTAATAACAATTTCATTAGTTTTTTTCTTTTCCTGTCTGTCTTTTTCTCCTTTAAATAAAAAAAAAAAGATTTTGTTTTGTGTTCATGTTTCTGTACTTTTTTTTTACTTGTTTATTGTCTGCCCTTTTTTGCTGCCTGCTGTTGTGCACCGTTACGCTGTGGTTGTGCTGCTCCTGCACATAAACCCAACACATTGTTCTGATAGAAATAAAAACAAACTGGGTACCAGTGAGGGAGCCGTCCGTGTCCACCAGCTGGACCTCGTGCTCCCACCTGAAGCCGGCCTTGTTGGGGGCGTTCAGGAACTGGACCCCGGAGAACCGGACCGCCCAGCCGCCGCAGCGGTCCACGCAGGTGCCGTCGATCTTGGCCACGCCCACGGCGGCGCAGCTGTTGCGGTTGAAGTTGATGAACTTGGTGTCCAGGACGCTCATGCCGTCATCGAGCGGCGCGATAACGCCGCGATGCGTGCACTGCTGGGCGCCCAGGCCCAGCTCGTCCAGGTGGCCCACCATTGTGCTGTTGGTCACGGTGGCGCCGCCGTCCTCGCCGAAGCCGCTCACGGCCCATTGGAAGATGCGCTTGGCCTCCACGCCGGCTTTCTCGTTGTTGACCATGAGGAAGCCGCTGAACTGCACGGCGCCCACGTTGACCCATTCGGCGCCCTTCTCGCAGTTCCAGGCGGTGAGCGAGCGGAAGACGGCGGGCGCCGGCGTCCTCGACCGGCAGCCGCCGCCACGCATGGGGAAAAAGTCCTGGAAGATCCAGAGGCCAAACCAGCCCTGCGAGTGCACGGTGTTGTTGGAGAACTCGCCCAGCGGCACCCGCTTCTGGCAGACGTTGGGGTCGTAGGACGGGCCGTCGGGGTGCTCGTGCATGCGGTACCAGAAGCCGAAGTGCGAGCCGCCGGCGGCGGCGTTGTGCCGCAGCACGTTGTCGGGGTTGGTGACCCAGAAGGCGGCCGGCGTGACGTCGTCGTTCAGCAGGCTGGTGCTCTGCTTGACCAGCACGGCCAGGTTGTACTGCAGGACGTTCTGGGTCTCCACGCCGTCCTCGATGAAGAAGGCGCCGCCCATGACGTCGTAGACCACGTTGTGCTCCACCAGCAGCCGGTGCGTGTTGTGGATGGTCACGGCCCGGTTGAAGGTCCGGTGGATGGAGCAGCCGCGCACGTACGACTGGAAGCCGATGTCGCCCATCAGGTGCCAGTGGATGGGGTACCGGCCCAGCCGGAAGGCCTGGCCCGCGTGGGACACCTGCCACAGAGAGGCATCAATCAGTCAGTAAGTCAATCAATCAATCAATTAATCAATCATTTTGTAAGTCAGTGAGTCAGTCAGTGAGTCAGTCAATCAATCAACAAATCAGACAGTCATTTAATAAATCTATCAATCAATCAATGAATCAGTCAGTCAATCAATCAGTGAGTAAGTCAGTCAATCAATAAATCAGATAGTCAATACATTTATTAATACATCAGTCAGTCAATTAATCAGTGAGTCAGTCAGTCAATCAATAAACCAGTTAGTCAGTCAATAAATCTATAAATCAATCAATAAATCAGTTAGTCAGTCAATAAATCTATTAATAAATCAGTCAGTCAATTAATCAGTGAGTCAGTCAGTCAATCAATCAATAAATCAGTCATTCAAACAATAAATCAGTCAGTCAATCAATCGGTGAGTAAGTCAATAAATCTATCAATTTGTAAGTCAGTCAATCAGTTGAACAATGAATGGATGAATGGTTGAATAAATCAATAAATTAATCAATGAATAAGTCAGTCAGTGGATCAATCGTCCGGCGGCCCGTTCCTACCTCCACGTACTCCAGCCGGCCCACTGCCAGGTTCTGACCCGGCCGGGGGGCGTGGAACATGATGCAGCCCCCAAACTGGTCGCTGCCCGCTTCCTCCCCGAAGCGGCCCTGGAAGCAGGTCTGGGTGGCAAACTCCCCTGAAAGGACGGAGAGGCTGACCTTTGACCTCCACCCACTGAGCCAGGAGGGGTTACTCTGACCTTTGACCTCCATATTTATAGTATATAGTAAGAGTTGCATATTGGATTAATAATTAATAATAATATATTTATTATTTTCATTTTATAATTAGATATATATTCTAAAAATAAATCATAATAATATATATATATATATATATATATATAGTAAGAATTGTATATTGTAACAATAATAATAATCATGATAATAACAATATAATTATCTAAATAATATATATAATACTAGTAATAGCCATAATAATAATAATTTTTATAATCGTATATATATTCTAAAAGTAAATCATTATTATATTTGAGATATATATATATAGTAAGAATTGTATAATGTAATAATAATAATAATCATGATAATAATAATATAATTCTCTAAATAATATATACAATAATAACAACAGCCATAATAATAATTATTATTATTATATAATCAGATATATATTCTAAAAATAAGTAATTATCATCATAGTAATATATATACACGAATAATAATAATAATAATTATAATAATAATAATAATGGTGATGGCTCCTCACCTGTGTCAAAGCCGTCTGGGCAGGCCTGGATCTGCTCGTTCCAGTCCTGCTGCTGGGAGCCCCGGACCACGATGTTCCTGGTGAGCAGGCCCACCTCGGCCCGGGCCTGGAAGACGGTGCCGTCAGGCAGTGTGACGGCCACCCCCAGGTGGGCATGGCTGAGCGGCTCGGTCAGGGTGAGGGTCCTCCCATCGGCCGACACCGAGCTGATGCTCCGCACCTCGTTCTCTCTCTGACTGTGCCTGGAAAGCCCATTTAGAGACAGAAATTAGCCTGGAAAGTCCATTTAGAGACAGAACTGAGCCTGGAAAGTCCATTTAGAGACAGAACTGAGCCTGGAAAGTCCATTTAGAGCAGAACTGAGCTTGGAAAGTCCATTAAGAGACAGACCCGAGCCTTGAAAGCCCATTTAGAGACAGAAATTAGCCTGAAAAGTCCATTTAGAGACAGACCTGAGCCTGGAAATCCCATTTAGAGACAGACCTGAGCCTGGAAAGTCGATTTAGAGCAGAACAGAGCCTGGAAGGTGCATTTAGAGACAGAACTGAGCCTGGAAAGTGCATTTATAGACAGTAATGAGCCTGGAAAGTCCATTTAGAGCAGAACTGAGCTTGGTAAGTCCATTTAGAGACAGAACGGGGCCTGGAAAGTCTATTTAGAGAAATAACTGAGCCTGGAAAGCCCATTTAAAGACAAAACTGAACCTGGAAAGTCCATTCAGAGATTGAACTGAGCCTGGAAAGTGCATTTAGAAACAGAACTGAGCATGGAAAGTGGGGCGGTTCTGACCGATGGCCGGTGGAAGCGATCACGATCTGGTCTCCAGGTTTCCAGGTGACCTCCATCATCAGGGTCAGCCTGTCGGAGCCGGCCGGCGCCGTCTGGGCCAAATGGGTCCAGGTCACCGGGACGGGGAGCCCTGAAGGCAGCAGAGGGCTCAGGGGGTCTGTCATCTATCTATCTATCTATCTATCTATCTATCTATCTATCTATCTATCTATCTATCTATCTATCTATCTATCATCCCTCCCCTCTATCCTCCCTTTCCCCGACCACCCCCCCAACCCTTCCATCTCCCTTTCTCCCCCGCTCACCCATACCTCCACTCCCTCCTATCCATCCCTACCCTCCCTCTTTCCCTCCCTCCCTCCCTCCCTCTTTCCCCCCCTCCCTCCCCCCCCCCCCCCCCCCCTCCCTTCCCTCTCCCCCTTGCCCCCCCCCTACCATGCAGGTCCAGCTGTCCCTCTCTGACCGCCAGCGTCTTGGTTCCATAAACGGGGAGTTCAGGTGAGCGCAGGTTTCCGTGCAGCGTGATGACGGCTTTGTGCTGGAAGGGCGCCCCCTCCTGGCCCACCTGCAGCCGCCCGCCGTCTGTGATCAGGATGTTTTCCGCCTGCAGCTCCAGGTCGGCCTCGTCGAACACCAGCGTCCCCCCTGAGCACAAACAGCTGCTTCTGAGTCGGAGTCAAAGGGAAGAACAGCTCAAATGAGGCTGTTGCTAGCTGGAGAGGTTACACTAGGCCACCACCAGGTGGCAGTACAGCACACTGCTGTAATAAACCAGTAGAAAAATATTAGAATAATACATATTATGTAATAATAACATAATACAAACAGATAAATAATATAATATGATAATAATATGTGATTTTTAATAATAACATAATATAAACAGATACTTAATATAATATGATAATAATACATAATGCAATGTAATAATATAATATAAACAGATAAATAATATAATGACAATAATACAAACTATATAATAATTCTATAATAAGAACAGGTAAATCATATATATGATAATAATACGTAATTGTGTAATAATAATGTAAGATAAACAGATAAATAATATGACAATAACACATCATTTTTAATAATAATGCTATGATATGAACAGGTAAATCTGGGGGTCCTACCTTGGATCAGGAGCATCTTGAGCACAGGGGTGCTGGCGTCCAGCAGGATGGTCTGACCTTTGGTGATGACCACAAACGAGCCCCTCTCGGGGGGGGACAGACCCCCCCAGGTGAACCTGGATGACCACACGTCGATGTAGAAGAAGTCTGCGCCACCCTGGAGGCCCAAAGCAAACCGGAGATGCTTTTTCTGCCGCTGGAGCCCGGCGGCATTACGGAGCCGGTCCTCACCTGCTGGGCCACGCCGCGGTTGCCGATGGCGACTCGGACTGTGGCTTCCTGCGAGCGGTTCTGGGCGCCGGTCAGGCAGACGATGTGCGTGAGGTTGGAGGACTGGACGTCACACACCGAACCGGCGATGGACACGCTGACCTCACTCAGGTCGGAGCTGCCAGCCAGACACACGGTTAGTGGAGTCCATGAACATTAAAACACTGGAACTGACTGAAAGTGGATGTTAGAATTCAAATAAAATACATTCAAAGAAGATGTTTAACTACAAATACATATAAACATATAGTATACATATACACATACTACAGTACATGATCTTTACTAGGGAGAGTATATATGCATATAAAAGCTAATGAATCCAACTGAATATCTTTATATTACTGTCAGGTATGTTTATTTTTCACACTTTGGTACATTAAAATATATGTAATAATGCTGTATAATATTGGTGTAAAAAATGTTAGAAAAAACAATATAATATAATATAATATAATATAATATAATATAATATAATATAATATAATATAATATCATTTATAGGCCTGTTATTGAATAATAAAGCCTTTTTACTACCCTGTCTATTGTGTTACGTATATTTTGGCAATTTGAGATAATCAAATTGATAGTTTTTTAATCTGTTACAAAAAATGGAACATTCAAATTTAACTCAGACTTTAAACATGATTAAAAATATCCATGAAAATGCAGATTTGTTCTGATACTCCTACTTTGACATAACTAATCAAAAATGAATAAATAAAAATCTAAGATTGTAAAAAATGGTTTTGTTCCATTAAAACTTTAAGGGTTCACATTCATAACTGTGAAGTTTCTTTAGTCGGGGGCTGTAAAACTTTAGATTAAAACCAGCCAATAGGGGGGCGAGTCTCTGTCCAGCTGTGGGCTTCACCTGAACCCGGAGCCGGCGATGGTGAGCCGGGTGCCGCCGGCCGTTCCCCCCCGGCGAGGAGACACCTCCCGGATCACCGGGGTCAGCTCAGACTTGTAGGTGAAGCCACCCGACATGTTGGCAGCATCCAGCGGGTTGACCACAGAAACGGGGCAGCTGACCTCCGACTGGGAGCCTAAGGGGGGACCCAGGAGAGAGGGGGGGCGCTCAGTGATTTACAGCTCTGTGTTAAAACCGTGCAAAGATGAAGGAAAAGCTAAAAAAGAGTCTGATTCAAAGGGAAAAATAACTCAAATTAACCTCCAAAGCTCCTCCCAGCTGGGTTTCAGCTCCCTGACGAAGCAAATATTATATAATACCCAATAAATATTTAAAAAGTCCCATATAGAAACTGAACTGGATAGAGAAGTTACACTATGCCACCAGTAGAAGAAGAAGAAGAGTTTGAAACAGAATTAAACTCTGAAGCCATGACCAGTTGGGAGCCTTTGGATTTTTACTAATAATTTAGCTGGTTGTAGACTTTATTGAGCAGCACATTTTTATTTGATCTATTTATCTTAATTGTATAAAAATAGAAAAACACAATAAAATCACGGCAAAATGAGAGATAATAAATATATCTGAATTAAGTTAGATGAACAGAGAGCTGTATAAGGTGCTGCATTGTTTTACAGTGAATAAAACCAAATTTTATAAAGAAACTTAACCTTTCTTATGCCACACAGCTTGCATACATGCAGAAAATACAAGCAAATCAGATAAAAAATTCTTTGAAATGGACTCATTTGTAATTTAAAAAAACCCTTATCATGCAGTTTAGGTGTCACATGACCCTTTCCCACAGTTTCTGCTCCAATAAGCCGATAATGAAGGCCTTTCTGGGGAAGTGGGGGCACGGCTCACCGTTGTTGGCTGGACTCTGGCAGTACAGACGGGTGGATGTAGACTTTTCCCTCAGGACGTCACACTCCTCCCCGCAGATCAGCACCCGGGAGCTGTGGGGGTCGAACCCGGAGCCCTGAAGGGTCAGCAGAGCGCCGCCGCCAAAGCTGCCTGAACCAGAACACAGACTTCATCCAACAGGAGCCACAAAACCAAAAGAAGGTGCTTCATTCACACCTTTCGGGTCTGTTCATGGAAAAATACTAAAAAACTACAAATATGGCGTTTCCATGCTCAGTTACAGATTATACTCAGTTTAGCCTGAGAGGACAAAATGAGGCTTGAAGTGTCTCACTGCTATGTTTGATGAAGAATCCTCTGAAAATAGGAGCGATTTTACACTAAAGGATGGAAAGACGTCAGTTTTTACAGAAATAGTTGAAATAATCCCAAAAATGAATTTATCCGAACCAAATAAATTACTAAAAGAAATTAAAATAAATCAGAATATCTCAAATTCAAACTGTGACTTTCTGCTTTCTTCCTCCAGAATCAGCTCTGATTTCCACTAAATGAGCTCTGTTCCATTTGGGGATTTTGGAATCAGATAAATTATTAAATATCTAAATTACTAAAAGGAATAAAAAATAAGTAAATAAAATAAATAAAAATATAATGGAAATGGTTTAAGCTTACAGAACAGTAGGAGTTCTTACCCTCGGTGGGCTGCACGCCGCTCAGCGTCAGCTCGTATGTGAACGAGACCTCTGACAGGGCGTGACCTTTGACCCCGTGGTGCAGGACCACCGGGTAGGTGCCCCCCGGGTTGCTGCCGGCGGTGCACTGGAGCTGCGAGTCGGAGACGGCCGTCAGGTTGCAGGGGACGTGGTTAATGGTGACGGAGAGGAGCTGGGGGTCGGCGCCGAAGCCCGAGCCGGTCAGCGTGATGATGGACCCGCTGGGCCCTGATGGAGGAGACCTGTCACTGCCTGTCCATAAAACTCCACATCCACAAACATTCAGCCCCGATGGGTCGGACCTCCATCACCACACAGTTCAGTTCCAACTTTATTTTAGGACCAAAACTGCTCTCTGTTTCTGGCCTGAGACTTTGGATTTGACCCAGATCAGCTCGTCTGAATTGTGTGGATCTAAAACAAACTCAAACCTGGACGTTTTCCACAGGTTTTCCCCTCCAGCCTCTCACTTTTGCTCACTTCCTGTTTAAAAGGGCTCCTTAGACAGTGTGAGCCGACTTATCCTAGTTTGAGGGGAAAATCTGTGGAAATGTCCAATATTTGAGGGTAAAACCTGTGGAAATATGAAAATCTGTGGAAAATGTCCCTGTTCTAGGGTAAAACCTATGAAATATGTCCCTGTTTGAGTGTAAAATCTATGGAAAATGTCCGTGTTTAAGGCTAAAATCTGAAAATCTGTGGAAAATGTCACTGTTTGAGGGTAAAATCTATGGAAATGTCCCATATTTGAGGGTAAAACCTGTGGAAATATGAAAATGTTTGGAAAATGTCCCTGTTGTAGGGTAAAACCTGTGGAAAATATCCCTGTTTGAGAGTAAAATCTATGGAAAATGTTCCTGTTTGACGGTAAAAGCTGTGAAAAATATCCCTGTTTGAGGGTAAAATCTATGGGAATGTCCCATATTTGAGGGTAAAACCTGTGGAAATCTGAAAATCTGTGTTCCCTGTGGAAATGTGTGTGCTTTAGTGAGAGGCTGTTACCGCTGGGGGGGCTGATGGAGCTGACGTTGGGCGTCAGGGCTGCAGAGTAGTTGAAGCTCAGAGGGGGAAACTCCACGTCCAGGACCCGGATGGTCAGGTCCACCTGGCCCTCGGCGTGGGGGGGGCTGAGGCAGCGCAGCAGGCCGGGGGTCACCTCCTGCAGGCGGCATGCCGCCCCCCCCAGCGCCACGCTGGTGTTCCCAGGAGCAAAGCCGTTGCCCCTGACGACCAGCGGCGTGCCCCCCGCCAGGCTGCCGGCGGGGGGGCTCAGGGCGGCCCGGGCCCGGCTGGTCAGGGTGGCGCCCCCCGCCGCCAGGCCCCTGCTCCTCACCAGCACGGCGAGCGGGTGGGCGCCGGCGGGCAGGGCGCCCACTCTGGCCGTGATGTTGCCGTCGGTTACGGACGCCACCTGATATACAGACAGGCTTCGTTCCACATTCACTAACTGCACTTTCATCAAGCGTAATAATAAACTGACATGTTTTTCTTTTCTCCCCAACAAAAATTTCACTTCATTTGAGCATTGTCAGAGTAAACAGACCGCCAGCTATAATGTGGAATGGTGTCTTCAACTACAGTAACGTGGAATGTGGTGGTGATGCATGGTATTGTGACACTGAGCTTCTTTCCAAAGTGATGACATGCGTTCATTTACCTCCAGCTGGGCGGCGCCCGCAAACACGGCCACGCCCCCCTCGGCGGCGCCGAATCCGGCGCCCGAGATGGTCACCACGGTCGGGCCGTCCACGTTGTCCGGGGAAACGCCGCTGACCAAGGGAGTGGCGTCCGGCGAGTACAGGAAGGAGCAGTTGGCAGAGCAGGAGCTCTGGAGGCGCCCGGCCCGGAAGAGCACGGCGCCGGCGGCGTTCGGCCGGGACGGCGCGGCGGCGCACTCCACGTGCGTGTAGTTGAGCCGCAGCACGCCGCACGGCTCGCCGGCCGCCGTTACCGCCCCCTCCTCCGAGAACCCGGACCCCCGCAGCAGCAGCCGGGCGCCGCCGGTGGGGCTGCCCACGGCGGGCGCCACCGAGTCCACCACCGGCAGCAGGGCGAAGCGGCGCAGGGGCTCGGACGCCACGGCAACCAGGGCGCCGCCCAGGCCGCGGACGCTGACCGCCACGGGGAGGGCGGCGCCCACCGGGAGGCCGGAGTCGGCGGGCAGCTGGCAGCTGATGTCCGACTCGGAGCTGCTGAGAACCCGGCAGGACGCCCCCCCGATGGTCACCTGAGGACGGCAGCAGGTTTGAGCTCCATAACAGCAGAAGAGGCCTCAGTTGGAGGCAGAAAAACTCAGTTTACAGCAGAAAAACGATCTCAAACTCACAGAGAAACTCAGTTTAAAGCACAAAAACTGCCCCATTTTGGCTAAAAATCGCAGAGAAACTCAGTTTAAAGAAGAAAAATGACCTCAAACTCACAGAAAAACTATAACTTAAAGCTGAAAAACAGTCTAGTTTTGGCTAAAATTCAAAGAGAAACTCAATTAAAAGCAGCAAAACACAGTTTTAGGAAGAAAAACACAGTTTTGGGCAGAAAAACTTCCTCGTTTTGGCTTAAACTCAAAGAGAAACTCAATTCAAAGTTAAAAAACACAGTTTGAAGCAGTAAAACTGCCTCATTTCGCCTCAAAATCTCAGAAAAACTCAGTTTAAAGCAGAAAAACAGCCTTCTTTTACCTCAAAATCTCAGAAAAACTCAGTTTAAAGCAGAAAAACTCAATGCTGACCTCATTGGCGCACGCGGTGGGGCTGAAGCCGCGGCCCTGGATGGTGATGACCTGGTGGTAGGAGCCCTGGTTGGGGGAGATGGAGGTGACGGTGGGGGTGGAGCAGCTGGAGGCGCTGAAGCTGAGCCCCTCTGAGCTGTTGCTCTGCTGGCACTGAGGGGACGCCTCACACTGGGGGGCCTCTCTGGAGACCCGGCGAGAGCCTGGGGGGTATTATATAATAATAATAATACATCATTATTGTTAACTATGTAATTATATTTATATTTCTAATAATTAAAAATGATAAAAAGATCATTATAAATCTAATTTTATAAATATATATTATATATTATAGTATCATGTATTATATTATAATGCTTTATATTGTTTTCCTAACATTTTTTATATCAATATTACACAGCATAACTACATATATTGTACTGTACCAAAGTGTAAGGAAACAAACTGTACTTCACAGGAATATAAAGAAATTCAGCTGGATTTCTTAGCTTATACACAGCATACATATATATATATGGGGGGGCGGGGGGCTCTCTGGTCCTCTTTGCCTTGGTACAGGTATTTTTTCTTAAGTAGTTATATATTTGTATTTAAAATGTGTATTTATGTATTTAAAAGTTTATTTAGAAATTGGGTTTTGAAGGTTTTAATTACAACATTTTAATGACTCAATAAGCACATGATTGGTTAAAAATGTATTTTAGATTTACGAGATTTCTGTCTGAGAGGTCAAAGATTATAAATATAAAGTTCAGGAGGCTAAAGAGTCTCTGGTTTGAAATGAAATAATATAAAAGGTAAAACCCTCCATCCTGCCCCCGCTCCACCTTAAACTGGTCAGGTGATGCGTCCCTCCCCCTTAAATGAAGCAGTACCTGCCGGCGCATGCCTGGCCTTCACGCCGCCCACCCTGACGGTCACTGGGCTGGTTTTGTCCTCTCGGCCCCTGACTTTGACCACGCCCTGCAGCCGCCGGACGCCAGCGGCGTCCACGGGCCCGCTGCTGTAGTAGTACGCCCCCGGCACAGTGAAGCGGTAGCTGAAGGACCCTGAAAAAACATTTAAAAACCGGCCATGAAGACTTAAAACTCAAGGCTGCAGAAGCTCTGCAGCAGAAACGTTTAAACATTTAAAAACCGGCTATGAAGACAGAACCGGCACAAACAGTCAATATAACAACGTTTAAACTAAGCTTAAGTTTGACCAACTCTGGTCCTGATTGGCTGGAGGATTGGCTTCTTCCTGAGTATGCTGGGATTCAGCTTTTAAAGCTTTCACACCTGCTCAATCGTGAAAACATTGAAGTATAAAGAGTTTGTGCTCATTGATGGCTCATAAAAAGACGGACACATTCACTGTCATGGGTGTATTTCATCCCACAGTAAATCCCGACTCTGGTTTTCTACCTTTGGCCGTCTTGTCTTCTCCGCTGTTGATCGGTCCGCCTTCATAAGTGGAGCCGCTCGGGCTGGAAACGCTAAAGACGCGGTACCCGACTGGCTGAAAGGCCGGAGCCTCCCATCGCCACACCACCGTGTCGCCTACGAAGACTGTGAGGGAGGCCGGACTCCATGCAAACCCCGGTCCATGAGCTGGGACACCAACACAAAAAAGAGCCTGAAAGACACCCACACAGAGCCCGGAATACGTTCCCTAAGCTCCCACAGTGGGTCAGAACCTGGATGATACCATGAATATACATTTAAAAGATCTAAAACTAGGTACCAAAGGACACAAAAAAGGCCAGAGGACCCCAAAAGGGCTCAGAAGGCCAAAAACAGGGCTGAAAAGACAGAAACATTTAGCTAAAAAGCCCAAAAAAGGCATCTAAACAAATGGGTCAGAACCTGAATGAAACCATGAAAAAGATCGAAAAAGATTGAAAACTAGATACCAAAAGAACGAAAAAAGGCCAAAGGATCAGAAAAAGAGCTCAGAATGTCAGAAACATGGCTGAAAAGACCGAAAAATTTAGCTAAAAATCTCAAAAAAGGCATCTAAACCTCCCAAAATGGGTCAGAAACAGAATGAAACCATGAATATACATGTAAAAGATCTCAAACTAGATACTGAAAAGACTAAAAAAAGGAATTCAACTTAGGAACTAAACAGGGCTCAGAGCTTTCTGGGGGGATTGTTCCCTAAATGTGCTCTGATTTGGTCTCTATCAGCAGGACAGCAAAGGTAAGGCAGCATTTGTGAGGCTGTTTGTGGAGCCTGAAGCAGAAACTTAGTTCTTTTTCTGGTTTCTGTCAGCTTTGTAAGCAGGACAGCAAAGGTAAGGCAGCATTTCTGAGCCTGGTGTTTCTGATGGGGGGGTTACTGGGACTCACTGAGGTGGGAGCCCTGGTTGGTGACCACCAGGGTCTGGTCCTCCGGACGGACGACGCACAGCAGCTCCTCCTCAGAGGCAGCCACCACGTCACAGCTGGAGCCCCCTGGAAGAAAAGCAGCCTCAGGATTCAGGATTCAGCCATCTGTCATCCATCATCCATCCATCAGCCATCCATCCATCCATCCATCTATCAGCCATCCATCAGCCATCTGTCATCCATCCATCCGTTATCCATCATCCATACATCATCCATCCATCTGTAATCCATCCATCTGTCATCCATCCATCTGTCATCCATCTGTCATCCATCCATCCATCCCTCATCCATCTGTCATCCATCCATTCATCGCTCATCTGTCATCCATCTGTCATCCACCCCTCCATCCACCCATCCACCCTTCCATCCCTCCACCCTTCCAACCCTCTACCCCTCCATCCATCATCCAACCATCATCCATC